TTTAATATTAATTGGATCTAATGTGTTGGAAATACGAGCTGTCGTCCTATGATAATATATTCCATTTTCTGAGGAGATTTATAATGTGTATTTGATGATGTATATACATACATAATTGATTATCAATTATCTTCACAGCATGTACCATGACTCGCGGAAAATACTATTTCAGCAAACCAATCATAGCGCCATTATCACAGTTTCAATGAAAGGAAAAACAAAACGAAATCGAACCTTACAGCACATCGTATCCATAAGCGGTTAACCCTAATGCAAAAAAAGGTATTGCTGTAATCATTTTAGAACCCGTAAAGATCCGGGTTAGAGAATAGGTCTTCAGCAACCCATGCTTGTCGTGAAAGGAAACTATGCTTCTCGTAAGAGGCGACTTACGGGATCGGGTAGTCTGGCTCGCTGACTTGGTTGATGCACGTCATCGTCTCCCAATTGTGTGGATCGATGCTCATGATGTCAAGCACTGGATAGTCTGGTCCAGGCTTGATTATTCACAGACCGCCGTCATATAGCTGAAATTTTATTGCTGAGTGCGAGAACTCACACATATTTATGTGACTTGAATATCCACAGGATCATGACAAATAAAGATAATAAAGAATTCATGGTTACAGTCCGTGTGGTTTTATGCCAGAGAATGTGCATTTGTGTGTGTGGCTATGGCTTGAATTCTACCCTTTGAGTTTCTGAGAACCTGTAGAGTTCCGAATCTCGGTCTAGAACACTTTACATGCGTTCTAAAAGTGTTACATCGTCAGAACACGTTGAAACGTTCTAAATTGTTTGTATCAACATTCAGGCTATTTTACAGAACACATGGACGCGTTCTAAAAGTGTAACATCCGTGTGTTACATGACCCCCGCCCCCTATTATCCACATCCATTTTCTCCATATTAGCCATACTTACAGCCCTCCATCTAGTATAAACCCTTAAACAAAACAACTTTCTAATTATTTCAGACTCTCAGAAAATAAATCTATAAGTCTACTAAGGGTACCTGGCCAACTCAACACACCTGGTAAGGACATAGCAGCTAAAATAGCCATAACTCATCCATCCCCATCCATTGATTTTCACACTTCCAAAGCCGAGCTGAAATCTAAAATAAAACAATCCATCAAAATTCAAAGTTTCTGCTGGATTAACCTGTTTCATAAACCTATCTATAAATATCACTATTATAACAATTCGACCTTTTTGATAAATAATATCCCGTATTATCAGTGGAAATACAAATCTGAACTATAATTTATTTAAGCAAAAAAGACCTCTAAATGGTAACTGTACAAACTGCCTCATTCCCGCAGATCAAGATCACATTTTTAACCACTGTCCACTTTATAGCACTTTCCACTCTCAACAATATCACTCTATCCCATCTCACTATCAGCACAATATTTCCTTACTCTTCAGTCAATTCAACCCTCCAGCAATATACAACTCCATTATCAATTTCATTCTTAATGCTAAACGCAGGGACAAATTTTAGAACATCCCAAACAAAGTCTGATTCAAAATCTCATAATGTAAGCAATCTGTTTCCCATTTAGGATCGGGATCGAAATATCTAGGGCGAACTGTCTTCTACGACATCCGCGCGCGAAATTCCACGAATCCATAACACTAACGTAGAACATTACCCAGCCAAATGTCATTGTCAAGGACCCAATAACACTGCTCACTGCCATCAATCGCCTCCCTTGCTCGCCACCACGATTCCCCACCCAGGCGATTATACTCGTAGGCTAAGCTCTTATTCCCTTTTTCTTTCTTTTGTAGGCCCCATATCTAATTACAGCTTATCTGTAATACATTTATAACCCATTATAGCTAAAATGGATAGAATTATCATTAAACCGCCCGCACGTTATCAGAAATGAGCGCGCCACTGTAACCACTTGATAATGCCCTCATAATGCTTGACGACGGGCCATTATCAAGCCCGTTGTGAGGTGACGTCATAAGGTAGAGAAAGTGACGTCACGTATTATAGTGACGTCATCTGGTTTGTTCTATGACGTTTCCATGTTTGTAAAATGGGGTCAGTGACATTCGTGTTGATTGCAAAATTTTTAAAAACCGATGTTGTTGTTTCTTTTTATTTGATAACAAATTCCATCCATTTTAGCTATAATAACGATAACGCTATTTTTCAGGGTATTATCATATGCAGAAGCCCTCGGTCTTTTCAACTGCCCTCCTTCGCCGGGCAGTTAATGGAAAACCTCGGGCTTCTGCAAATGATAATGCCCTGAAAAATAGCGTTATCCTTATATTATGCTATACCTTTTGTATATATACATCGTTAATACTATATTATGGTAGTAGGACCTGTTTTAGTTGATATTATATTGTCCTATTATAATTTCGCGTTTGAAATTATTAACAGCTCTTCCAAATGCATTAAACCATCTATATCCTCTTTTGTAATATAATAAATAATTATACATTACATGAAAACGTTATAGACATAGGTGTTATTAGACATGTTTTTTCCCATTCAGTTATATTTTGGGGGTATGGTGATTTATCTATATTTATATTTTATAATATTATTCATATTTATCATTCCCTTACGAAGTACAATAACTCCGAAGTAGACGTCACACCCCCAAATCTAGTCCAGTCCAGGTTCAGCTCCAGTTGTGACACGCCACTTCCTACTAGTATGAGCTGTTTTTTAAAAAAATGATTCATATCCAGTTGAGACGCATCACATAGACTATTTTTCCAGACAGAATATTTTTTTCAATATTATGGTTTAAACTCGGCGCTACTCTAACTTTATAGTTTCTAAAGGAACGGTAACTTTGACTGAATGTAGGTATGTCCTTCTACAACTGGACTACCTAGACGACCAAGGTGCCTGGACATGGTTTACACATTGCAGCTGTCCGTGGTCATGTGGGCTCCATTCTGAGAAAGCCATGCTATGCTGGACTTTCCCTGTGAAGAATAGATAGATATAGGGGTGTATTTTGCTGGTCCGAATGTTCCGAGTAGTAGGGAAAGTATAACCTTCCGCATTCATGGTGAAGTGTAAGAATGAGTTGCGGGTGCTGTCCACACCCAATGATACCCCAGTTACCGTAGAAAGGGAGTTGTAGTGTCAGCTGAGTTCGTCTGGAAGTCTGATCTCTAGAGCACATATACTGATAGATATTTGAAAGCTCTCAGCTTCAGGTTCAAATGAATAAATACGCTGCAATGTTTTAGATCTAGTTCAGGCGTGCAAAATCCTAATTTAATGAGTTGGGTCTTTCAATGTTTCAGATCAATTTGAGATGCGCCACTTCCTGGTATAATGAGTTGGTCTCTTATGTTTCAGCTCCGGTTGTGACGCGCCACTTCATATAATAAGTTGGTCTCTAATGTTTCAGCTCCAGTTGTGATGCTCCACTTCATATTAGTTGGTCTCTAATGTTTCAGGTCCACTTGTGATGCTCCACTTCATACTAGTTAGTCTCTAATGCTTCAGCCCAGTTGTGAGCACCACCTCATATAATGGGTTGGTTTCCAATGTTTCAGCTCCAGTTGTGATGCACCACTTCATATAAGTTGGTCTCCAATGTTTCAGCTCGTTGTGATGCACCACTTCATGTAATGATTTGATCTCTAATGTTTCAGGTCCACTTGTGATGCTCCACTTCATACTAGTTAGTCTCTAATGCTTCAGCCCAGTTGTGAGCACCACCTCATATAATGGGTTGGTCTCCAATGTTTCAGCTCGTTGTGATGCACCACTTCATGTAATGATTTGATCTCTAATGTTTCAGGTCCACTTGTGATGCTCCACTTCATACTAGTTAGTCTCTAATGCTTCAGCCCAGTTGTGAGCACCACCTCATATAATGGGTTGGTCTCCAATGTTTCAGCCCAGTTGTGACGCACCTTCACATATGAAAATATGAGTTGGTCTCTAGTGATGTAGCTGCAGTTGTGACGAACAACTTCATATCATGAGTTGGCCTCTACCTTATCAGCCCCAGTTGTGACGCGACACTTCCCACTAGTATAAACTGATATTTTATGATTCATATCCAGTTGAGACGCAGCACATAGACGAAGCAGATTATTTTTCCAGACAGAATAATTTTTTCAATATTATGGTTTAAACTCGGGGCTACTTTAACTCCATATAGTTTTTAAAGTAAGGGTAACTTTGACTGAATGTAGGCATGTCCTTCTACAACTGGACTACCTAGACGACCAAGGTGCCTGGACATGGGTTAACACATTGCAACTGTCCGTGGTCATGTGGGCTCGATTCTGAGAAAGCCATGCTATGCATATATGAAGTGACGCGTCACAACCGGAGCTGAAACATATGAGCACAAGTCATTATATGAAGTGGCGTGTCACAACCGGAACTGAAACTTAAGGGACCAACTCATTTGTTTTGATATTTGATGATAAGCAATAATTGAATACACTTTTGAAATTCAATTCCGATAATGAGTTTGAAATTGATGCATGTATATGACAATTAGACTTGACGTCACGACGTCAAAAATTTCCGCGTTGATATAGTTCGCCTTAAATAATAGTTCGCTTTAGATAAGGTGTGATGTTTAATTGATTGTTTTGTTATGATTTGTGTATCTGTCACTATAAGGGTTGACTTTCATCACCTGATGAAGACAGTGCCTCACATGAGCAAATGTACCATGAAGCGCTTCGTTCGAAACAGCAAGTCAGCGGGGTCTTCATTCCTTCATCAATTGGCACCAATGACGTCATATTGCAAGGGGCATAAGCCACGGTGTGTTATGTGAACTCTCGGTAAATGTGGAAAATATGGCCTGTGCAAGAGCAAGGGCAACCGTTTCAGCTGATGCCATGTCACAACAAACACAAGGGCATTCAAATATCATTTTGAGTATTTATTACATATATAAGTTATACATATTTCAGCAGTGTGGTATAGGCACGGTATATACAAATATTTGAAGCACTTCTGATGTTAAAGTTTATATACATTGTTCAACACACGGTAGGTGGGAACATTGGTGGGTAGGGAAACCCTGGGAACGGAGACATCATGGCGGGGACCGGAAACTGGAACTGGGGCATCATGGGAGACATGTAGTTGATTCCGGGAGAAGACGTCATCATGGCGGCCACGTGTGGAGAGTTAGGGGAATGCGTCTCAGGAGCTCTACTTTTTCTGCGAGATCGCTTATTCTGGAACCAAACCTGCAATGCAGATGCAACAATCTTGTTAGCCCTTCGCAAACAAATATAGCGTTTTCTGTACGGCAGCACCACCATTCGACAAGGGGGGTGTCGGAGAATAAAATATACATAATAATCATTTCCATAATCTTTAGAGCTCTCTGCTAAAAGCAGAGTCCAATAATAATATGATTGCGACTATATCATAAGCACTACTGAAATTTTGATCTGTTTTGTTGTTTAACGCCGCACTCAGCAACATTCCAGTTTCCTGGCGGCGGTCTGTAAATAATCGAGTCTGGACCAGACAATCTAGTGATAGCCATCATGAGCATTTACGCAATCGCATCAACGAAGTCATCGAGTCTGACCACCCGATCCCGATCACAAAGAGCCATCTCACTAGGTGTAACCGTACAACGTGGGAAGTGTCTAATGATATCAATCACTAGTTATAGTCTGTTTAACTAATTTGACGTTACTTGATTTTTATTGGCGGTGGCGTAAATATGAGAAACGATGCAACCTGGCCTTGTAGTTTGTAACGAATCGTTTAAATTTAAAGCGTACCTTGATTCTCTTGTGGGGAATTCCAATCTCAGCAGACATGTGCTCAATGACGTCATAATCCGGATACTTGTTCTCCGAGAAAACCAGTTCCATGGCGCGCACCTGTTTCTGTGTGAAGCAGGTTCGGCCACTCGTGGGTCTGGGCCTCTTCGTTGTTGCGGGGCTTGAGGATGGAAGGGGGGAAGAGGCTGGACTTGCGTTGATGGATTCACTACCGGAGGAGTGGCTTTGTGCCGGACTGACCCTCCCGGTGCCTCTTGGACTGGCACGAGGGACGACAATCTCGGGGTCTGCAACACAAGAATCATTTATATAAAACATAACATAACAGGAATCAACGACACATCTGGGCTAGTTTCAGAGGTATATGCGTTCGACAAATTTAAAAAAAATCTTTGAAATGACTTACCCTGGAAACTATTGAGATGTGTCTCTTGTGGCTGTGGTGTGGCTGGAGGAATGTATGTGGGATAACAAGACGGGAACACACCGGACATTGACACTGGGTAGATCGGGTGCACGTTGTTTACTGACTGGGGTAGTGAGAGTCCCTGATGTGCGATGTTCCCTGGGTTCGGGGGCTCCGCGTATGGTGTCAGGTTGGGACAAGGTCCATTTTCAACATCAGCAGGTGACAAGCCTTGTAGTGGAGTTTCATCGAGAATAGTGTCTCTGTGGTCACCCTTTGACCTAGTGTCGTTGTCTGATGGTGACCTAGTGTAGTCTTCTGCTGGTGACCTTGTGGCGTCGTCTGCTGGTGACCTTGTGGTGTCGTCTGCTGGTGACCTTGTGGTGTCGTCTGCTGGTGACCTTGTGGTGTCGTCTGCTGGTGACCTTGTGGCGTCGTCTGCTGGTGACCTTGTGGCGTCGTCTGCTGGTGACCTTGTGGTGTTGTCTGCTAGTGACCTTGTAGCGTCGTCTGCTGGTGATTTTATGTTGTAGTTTTGTACAAGGCACTGTTCTTCATCGGCTGTATGGTCTAGGTCGATGTGGAGAGCATCACTGTCACTTTCGTCTGAACCGATGCTCTCATCCGGCGAGGATTTCTCTGGTTTCAAGATGTCGATGATGCTGAAGGGCGTGAGTGTCCGCGGCTTCGTCGAGGTCGAAGATGTAGAAGTCCGTAGGTTCATGGAGACTGGTGATGCGTCTTCGAGGAAGAAAGAGGACAGTGCAGTTCCGAAGGAAGCCTGTGAAAAAGACAGCATGTATACCATGACGGAATAACGATTATAGAATAAGATCTAGTGGTGTATAAAATTGAACAAAATGTGGGTTTTGGACAAAAATGCATATTTAGCTTCTGGTAAAAGAAACCTGTTGCATAGTACTTGCATTTATGTTAGACATGAGGAATGTCTTCGTTTCAGCATTTTGGGTAACTAACAAATGAATAATAAGTAACGATGTTACAGCTAGAATAAAACTGGTACTTACGTTTCTTTCCATTTTATATTATCAAAGGCGATGTAATGGTACTCTCTTCTCTGTGCAGATCTACCTGGAACTGTAGCTGATGAAGTTATTATCGGACACGTCACCTTTATATACCTCACAGGTGTGACATCTGGCACTCACCTGCACTTCCCAATCAAGGTAAGCGTCAATCAGCCTCAATCAGACCACACTTAGACTTCTTGAAGTGATCACTTTCATTATTCCATTGTTTTCAGTTTCCATGTGTTGCGCTTGGACAGTAAGATGACTGATTAGCTACTCAACATTGACGCGCAACTCAGACAGTTAACTGATTTTATTATCCTGATTGTAAAGAACAATTAATAATACTAGTTCTCTTGTCACAATACTGATCATTGGTTCATTATGTTTGAACAAAACTGCGGCAATTTACTAAGTTGGTTTGACATTTACGTAAACAATAGAGCTCAGAAAGTGGTTAATAATGGGTTTACCTCAGAATTAATATCTGTAAAGTTTGTGTAGCTCAGGGATATGTGCTTGGACCACTGTTGTTTATCGTTTATATTAATGTTATTGGTGAAGAGATAGAGAATAAAATACGCCTTTTTGCTGACGATATATCAATATATTTCACCATATATTATCCATTTGCAGTTGTCACTTGTATTAATAATGATTTGGTTAAAATTCCAAGATGGGCCAACATATGGAAATAGAATTCAATACCGATAGGACCGAAAAGATGACATCACCCGTGAAGACGATCCCCGTAATACGACTAAATATATATGAACGATATTCCCATTCAAGATATTGTCAAACAGTATAGTCCCATGATCAACTGCTTAAGGAATTTAAAATATCGGTAAAAAACATCTATTTTTGGGGGGGGGGGGGGGGGGGGGGGGGGGGTCTGGCATTGTGTATCGAAATTAGATATTTTTCAGCTATAGCTACAAAACCAGAAGGCATATATTTCTTCAACAATCTGAAGCATAATAATATTTTTTCAGAAGTTCAGTTTATTTTTTCGACAAATTCACACCTCACACCGCCCCAGAATATCAGATGGTCGATCCATTAGAACTATTTGTCACAATAAACTTGATAATGAAACAAGTTTCAGATATCTAAAAGAAAGAAGATACCGTTCCAAATTCAAAATAAAACTAAAATGAATACCGGTATTGCACCTGAATATCTCAGTGAACTTGTTCCGGCTAAAACCTCAGACAATAATAATCCTAATCTTAAGGATGGTTCTCATGAACAGACAACTGTAGGACCCAAAGGTATACAAACTCATTTCTTTCTTGTACGATGCAACTGTGGAACGCTCTGCCCGCGGACTTTATTCATGTTTGCTCATTAAGAGAACTTAGCACTTTAATCAATGACCCTGACACTACAATACATTGACTTAAACTTCGGATCTAGATACAGGCAAATTATGCATTATCGCCTCAGACTCGGCTGCAGCGAATTAAACGCATATAGATTTAATCAATGTGTATCAGACAGATCCGACTGCAAATGTGGAAATCATTTGAAAAGATGCTTCACATTTTCTATTTACATGCCGAAATAATGCAAATATTAGAAATAATATATTTGTACATTGGTGGATATATCCCCAAATCAGTTTTATACGGCAGCTCTTGTGAAACAATCAACATAAAACATTTTAAATTAGTCTACGGCTCTATTGTCAAAAATAAAAGATTCGAGCGGTTGTTATAATAATCTGAATACATTTTGGATTAAATATTAAAATTAAGATACTGCATTCCTTTATCTCGGACACCACTAGCTCTAGCTTACGATTATAGATTAACTTTATGTATTGTACATATATATTCAACATGAACATGTATAAATTTGTTACCAACTGTAATCTGTTTTTCCTGGATGGGTATTTATAGAAGCAATGGTTTACTTGTTTGCCAATCCGGATTTAATTCATGAAATAAAAATATGTTTAAAAAATGTGTATGTACATAGAAGTATGCAAAACAACAAGACCAGCAAGTGTTCAGCCAAAAGAACGTATGAGGCACTTAAAACAGTAAACGTTCATTAAAAGGTAAGTCAATATTAAAACATTTTTAGACTTGCTAAATAAGCACCTGTAAAATGAAAATATTTGATTATAGAAAAGTGTGTCGTATCATTCTGCTATAGGTTGCTACCAGAAGCCACTGTCTGTGTGTAATGGTACATGTTTATATAAACCAGGCGAGAAGAAAAACATAACTTTGATTATTGATATCTGCAGCAGTTCCATACACATGAAATCTAAGATCTTAGAAGGAATCACAATCAATGAGGAAGTTTGTTTCATCTTCGATAACAGTAGATCCGTGGTTGTAACAGTATATACAAAGTCTGCTTTGTAGATGGAATACTTAATTATCAGGGATATATTTTTTAGAATTAAGTAAAACCAATAACTTGTTCATCATTAAAGGAAGAATTGGAGAAGATAAATATCTAGGAAGAACTTGTAAAGGTGTTAGCCTAATCGACAGCAGGTACACTTCAATATGTAAGTAGTGTTTATGTTCAAGACTTTGATTCCATTCTCTCAGATAAATACTCCTCAGGACGATATTGTCTGTCAATCAACGCCTGCTCAATCAATCAATCAAGCGCACGGACACTTCATGCGACTACCGTCAAGGACAGAAGAAAAGCATGTCTTGATGATGTGAATACAATGCTTGATAAACTGAATATTTGTTTATTAACGTTAACAAGAAATGTTTATAAGATATTGTTGATAATGTCAACACTGTTTTTGTTAGTGCTGCACATGTTTCCTTTGGTTAAAAATGTAAACCCTTACCCCCATGTGAAGCGGACGCCACAAAATCATTTGGGCCAACTTTTGTTATTCCGGGACAAGCCGAATAGCGAATCTTCTTGCAGGTCACGGAAAGGGGCGAGTGGTGACGAGTGGCCACAAAATATGGTTCGACAAGCAATGTGAAGTTAGTGGAGGAAAGTATCTTCAATCCCAAACTACTTTCCACGGGAATAAAACGTGAAAATACACAACGTCTATTAAATGCAAGTAGTCTTATAAGGGAACTTTACTTCAATATGTATTAAAGTAATGTGTATGTACGGGCCTTTAACCGGATTCTATCCGATGATCATCGTGCTATACATCTACACACAGACACTCGTCAGGACGATATTGTCTGTAAATCAACGCCTGCTATTGACAAACGCACGGAATCGTCATGCTACTACCGTCGCTGGGTGAGCAGAAAAGCATGGCATATTGTCAATTTCATGGCGCTATCACCAATTATGATGTGAATACAATACTTGATAAACTAAATGTTTGTTTATCTAATGTTAACAAGAATGTTTATCACATATTGTTGATATGTTAACAATATCTTTCTAGCTTCCTTTGGTTTAAAATGTAAACCCTTACACCAATGTGAAGCGACGCCACAAACTATGCTTCGACAAGCAATGTAAAGTTAGTGGAGGAAAGTATCGTCAATCCCAAACTACTTTCCACGGGAATAAAAGGTGAAAATACGCATTTAATAGATTAAATGGACGTAGTCTTATAAAGGAACTTTCCTTACATTTTATTATCGACATAGAAATACTTTATAAACTGAAATATATCATCAGATACATTAAATGATAGAAAAAACCTTTTTGCAAAATATTACGTAAAAGTAGTAACGAGTCGCACTAACCTCCCTTGGAAACATGCTTCGAATTTTTCAAAATTCAGAATAATGGTTATACTGACTCCTCGCTTATTGATGTTCTTGATCATGAACACTGACCAGATGTTATGTTTGAGATAGAGAATGTACACCTTCAGAAATCCAAACGCCGTTACTTGACTAAAAATGACAAATCCTGTGGTCCTGATGTAAATGAATATAATATTAGTAGCTCTGAGGCTATGATGCCAGTGTACGTTAAACGTTTTAATACAATTCTAGATACAGGTGTTTTCCTGATCAGTGGCTTAAGGTATACTGAACTACAAAAGAAACGTCACCATGGACAGATATGTGAGAAACATTATTTGTCCAAACAATGTAACCATACTTTGAGACATGTTAAAAAGATGAAACTTGACAAGGTTGAAATGAAAGTGTCAAATGTTCTTGAAGTGAAACGCCAACACTAGTCTCTGAGAAAATGGCATCACAAGTCAGTATCTCTTGTGTCCGCCATGTGCATTGATGACTGCCGTGCAACGTCGATACATGGAATTGATGAGGCGGTTGATGAAGGCCATAGGCATTTGAGCTCACACTCTGAGGAACGCCTGACGCAGTTCAGCTGCAGTTGTCGGCCTTGGTCGGGGGTCATTCAGCGGTCTTTGAATCTCGTCCCTCAGGGACTCAATGGGATTTAAATCGGGACTGAGGGCAGGTCACTGCATGGTTCTGATGCCATTCTGCTGGATGAAGTCTCTTGTTACTCTCGCAGTGTGGGCACGGGCGTTATCATGCTGAAACTGGCGATTGCGGCGATGTGCCAAATGAGGTATAGCGTGTGACTTGATCAATGGACCGAGCTGCTGTGACACCATTGCCTCTCCCTGGACCGATGTTCTGGAACACCACAAGGCCGGCGCTCTGTGCAAGACGAATTCCAACCCACACCATGATGCTCGGACCACCACACGAGTCTCTCTCAACAACACAAGCATTCGAATAACGTTTCCCATGGCGTCGCCAGACCCCCTCTCTGCCATCTGCTGTTGAGATACAGTAACGGCTCTCGTCTGAGAAGAGGACTCTTCTCCACTACCGGTGGTGCCAATGATGGTGCTGTGTTGCCCACTGAAGACGGCCCCGGCGATGACGTGGTGTCAGAATGGGTCCGCTGTGTGGCCTGTGACAGTGGAGCTGTCTGCTCGTCAATCGTCGACGCACGGTGTCCACACTAATGTGCCGGTGGTGTGTCCCCATGGTCTGTGGATAAGTATCCGCAGCAGTAACAAAGCGATCTTGAAGATGCTGTCGCACAATCTGAGGATCCTGACGTCGGGGGGTGACCCTTGGTCTTCCACTACATGGTCGGTCATCTGTAGTGTTGGTGGTCTGGTACCGTTGCTGGAGCCTTACGTGGACTTGAAATGCATTGGTTACATGCCGGGCGGTGTGTCCAGCTTGCAATCGTCCAAGGGCTTGGTGTCGCTGATTCCTTGGCATGTGGTAGCAATTCAATAACGAATGAATGTTATCCGATCTGGGTGGATTTTTATAGGGCAAGAAATGGGGGAACGCATTTCAATTCGCACGGAACTCACGTGCATCGGGTTACCATGGCCGTTATGCCTTTGGTCAGTCGATTTTACTGTCATCAAATTTCATTTTTCCGGACAAGGTAATGATAGAAACGTTTCATGCAATATTACTTGGGGCGACGTTTCTTGCGGACGCCAGGCGGACGATCTACCACTGGACCACGAGGCGGTCAACAAACATTAGGACATTCAAATATCATCATTTTGAGTATTTATTACACATATAAGTTATACATATTTCAGCAGTGTAGTATAGGCACGGTATATACAAATATTTGAAGCACTTCTGATGTTAAGTTTATATACATTGTTCAACACACGGTAGGTGGGAACATTGGTGGGAAGGGAAACCCTGGGAACGGAGACATCATGGCGGGGACCGGAAACTGGAGCATCATGGGTGACATGTAGTTGATTCCGAGAGAAGACGTCATCATGGCGGCCACGTGTGGAGAGTGAGGGGAATGCGTCTCAGGAGCTCTACTTTTTCTGCGAGCCCGCTTATTCTGGAACCAAACCTGCAAAACAGATGCAACAATCTTGTTAACCATACGCAAACAAATAAAGCGTTTCCTGTACAGTAACTCCACCATTCGACAAGGGGTTTTGTACCACTTACAGTCATCTTATGTCGAAAGATGACATGGATTGGATAGATAGGCCCATTGACGCAGGGAAGAAAATATCAAAAGCGACAAAATCCATTCCATAATCTTTAGAGTTCTCTGCTAACAGCAGAGTCCATTGTATGATTGCGACTATCATAAGCACTATCAACTAGCTTACGTGTTTGTTGTTTAACACCGTACGCAGCAATAGTCCAGCTATATGACAGCGGTCTGTAAATAATCTAGTGATGAGTGATGACGTTATGAGCATCGATCTACGCAATTGGGATACAATGACATGCATCAACTGATGCAAGTCAGAGGCCATGACAACCCGATCCCGTAAGTCGCCTCTTACCTATCGAATAGCGAATCTCCACAGACATCAGAGAAAAGGTTACTCATGATATCAATCACTATTTTGTATGGGCTGTTTACAGAATGACCTCACTTGATAATCGTTGACAGTGACGTAAATATAATCTTCCGACAGATATGAGGAACAATTCATCCTGAACTTGTAGTTTGTAACGCATCGTTTAAATTTAAAGCTTACCTTGATTCTCTTGTGGGAAATTCCAATCTCAGCAGACATGTGCTCAATGACGTCATAATCCGGATACTTGTTCTCCGAGAAAACCTGTTCCATGGCGCGCACCTGTTTCTGTGTGTAGCATGTTCGACCACCAGAGGGCCTGACCCTCTTCGTTGTTGCGGGACTTGAGGATGGCAGAGGGGAGGTGGGTGGACTTGCGTTGATGGATTCACCACCGGAGGAGTTTCTGTGTGCCGGACTGACCTTACCGGTGCCTTTTGGACTGGCTCGGGGGACGACAATCTCAGGGTCTGCAACGCATAAATCAGTTAAATTAAACATAACATAACTCGAAATCAAAACGGATCATCTGAGCTGGTTTCAGAGACACATGCGTTCGACAAAAGGTTTTGAAATGACTTACCCTGGAAACTATTGAGATGTGCCTCTTGTGGCTGTGGTGTGGCTGGAGGAATGTATGTGGGATAAGCAGACGGGAACACACCGGACATGGACACAGGGTACATAGGGTACACGTTGTTTACTGACTGGGGTAGTGAGAGTCCCTGATGTGCGGTGTTCCCTGGGTTCGGGGGCTCCCGGTAAGGAGTCAGGTTGGGGCAAGGTCCATTTCCAATATCAGCAGGTGACAAGCCTTGTACTGGAGTTTCATCGGGCATAGTGTCTCTGTGGTCACCTGTCGACCTTGTGTCATATGGTGACCTTGTGGCGTCGTCTGCTGGTGACCTTGTGGCGTCGTCTGCTGGTGACCTTGTGGCGTCGTCTGCTGGTGACCTTGTGGCGTCGTCTGCTGGTGACCTTGTGGCGTCGTCTGCTGGTGACCTTGTGGCGTCGTCTGCTGGTGACATTGTGTCGTCTGCTGGTGATTTCAATTTGTCGTTGTGTACAAGGTTCTGTTCTTCATCATTTGTATGATCCAGGTCGATGTGGAGAGCATCACTGTCACTGTCGTCTGATCCGACGCTCTCGTCCTGCGAGTATTTCACTGGTTTCAAGATGTCGATGATGTTGAAGGGCGTGAATGTCCGCGGTTTCTTTGTGGTCGAAGGTGTAGAAGTCCGCAACTTCATGGAGAGTGGTGATGCGCCTTCGGGGAAGAAACATGACAGTGCAGTTCCGAAGGAAGCGTTCTGTAACAAAAATAACATAATAATGACAGAATAACGATTATCGCAGACTAATAAGATCCAGTACATAATGTAAGCAATTTGGACACGAATCCAAATTTAGCTTCTTGTGAAGGAAAACTATTGCACAGTACGTGCATAAATGTCAGACATGAGGACCGTCTTCATTTCAGGATTTCGGGTAACAAACAAATAGCTAAAAGGCAATGATGTTACAGCTAGAATAAAACTGGTACTTACGTTTCTTTCCATTTTATATTATCAAAGGCGATGTAATGGTACTCTTTTCTCTGTGCAGAACTGCCTGGAACTGTAGCTGATGAAGTAATTACCCGACACGTCACCTTTATATACCTCACAGGTGTGACATCTGGCACTCACCTGCAATTCCCAATCAAGGTAAGCGTCAATCAGCCTCAATCAGACCACACTTAGCCTTCTTGAAGTGATCACTTTCATTATTCCATTGTTTTCAGTTTTGCATGTTTTGCGCTTGGACAGGAGATGACTGATTGGCTACTCAGCATTGACGCTCAACTCAGACAGTTAACTAATTGTTTGATCCTTGTTGTCAAGGACCATCTATAGTCCTTCTCGTGTCACAATAGTGATCATTGATTGTCACCAAGACCTTCATTCTGTTTAAACAATACTGCGGAAAGTTACTAAGTTGGTTTGAAACTTACGTAAATAATAGAGCTCAGAAAGTGGTTATGAATGGTAAAACCTTTTTTCGATAAAATCACACTTCGCCCCACGATTCTATTGTCAAAAGAAAAGAATCAAGTTGTAGTAAAATTAGCGGAATACATTTGGATTAAATATTGAAATTGAGATACTTCATTCCTTCAGCTCGGACACCACTGGCTAAAGTTACAGATTATATTTATGTACTGTACATGAACATCCAACAGGAACATGTTTAAATAAAGTTACGAAATTATGCAAATATTAGAAATAATATATATTTGTACATTCGTGGATATATCCCGAAATCAGTTTTATATGGCAGCTCTTTATTAAGTGAAGCAATCAACATAAAACATTTTAAATCAGTCTACGGCTCTATTGTCAAAAATAAAAGATTCGAGTGGTAGTTATAATATTCTGAATACATTTTGGATTAAATATTAAAATTAAGATACTGCATTCCTTTATCTCGAACACCACTAGCTCTAGTTTACGATTACAGATTAACTTAATGTATTATACATATATATTCAATATGAACATGTTAAAATTTGTTACCAACTGTAATCTGTTTTTCCTGGATGGGTATTTATAGAAGCAATGTTTTGCTTGTTTACCAATCCGGATTTCATTTATGAAACAAAAATATGTTTTCAAAAATGTGCATGTACATAGTAGTATGCAAAGCAATAAGACAAGCAAGTGCTCAGCCTAAAGCAGCATACGTTAATTAAAAAGTAACCCTATATTAAAAGATATGTATTGAATTATCTGCTCTTCATTAATTAGACTTAGTAAGGAAGCACCTGTAAAATGAAAATATTTAAAAAAAAGAAGTCGTATCATTCTGCCGTATCATTCAGGGTTCAGTAGCGGCTGTCTGATATCAGTGCTTAGCTGTACAAGTTTATATAAACAAGACAGAATAGAAAGATCACATTCATTATTGATATCTGCAGCAGTTTCATTGAAATGATGTCTAAGATCTTAGTTGAATCACAATCAATGAGAAAGTTTGTTTCATCTTCGATAACAGTAGATCCCTGGTTGTTGCAGTGTATACAAAGTATTTCTGTAGATGAGGAGTTAATTATCTGGATATATATTTTTAGAATTAAGTAAAAGAAATAACTTGTTCATCATCAATGTAAGATTAGGAGAAGATAAATGTGTAGGAAGAATTTGTAAAGTTGTTAGCTTTATCGACTATGTTATAGTAACTGCATGTTCACTTCAATATGAATTAAAATGATGTGTATGTACAAGCCTTTAAACCGATTCTATCAGATGATCATCTTGCTTTATATCTAAACACAAACACTCGTCGGGATGATATTGTCTGTACATCAACGCCTGCTGTTGACAAGCGCACGAAGTCTTCATGCTACTACCGTCGCTGAGTGAGTAGAAGAGCATGTCAATTTCAAGGCGCTATCACAAGTTATGATGTGAATAAAATACTTGATAAACTGAATATCAGTTTTCTCATGTTAACAAGAATGTTTATCAGATATTGTTGATAATGTTAACAATGTTTTTGTTGGCTTCCTTTGGTTTAAAATGTAAACCCTTACCCCAATGTGAAGCGACGCCACAATGTGTGGCTCATCAAGCAATGGGAAGTATCTTCTACCCAAAACTACTTTCCATAGGAATAAAACGTGTGAAAATAAGCAATGTTTATTAAATGGAAGTACATCTTATAAGATAAATTCATTTAAATTTTATAGACACAGAAATACCTTACAAACTAATATATACCTTCAGGTAGATTAAATGATAAACAATCGTTTGGGGAAATATTACGTAAAAGTAGAAACGAGTCGCACTTACCTCACTTGGAAACATTCTATGACTATTTTAAAATTCAGAATAATAGTGATAGTGAGTGAGTTGGGTTTTACGCCGCTTTTAACAGTATTCCAGTTATATCACGGCGTGTCAGCTTAATGTGGGAGGAAAGCCCGAAGTGATGCAGGTCTCAGACGTTTACCACTTCGGTGAAACCCACGAGCACGGGTATGGTGCTGACAAACCTAGAAACATAATCAGGGCGAACCGGGATTCGAACCCACAATCATAGGTTTCTGGCGTGGCCAAGGGACGCAACTCTGCACAGCGAATCGCGGCGCCTTAGACGACTGGGCCACCCGTGCCCCCAGTAATGGTGAGAATGACTCCTGATGGTCCTAATGTAAACGAATATAGTATTAATAGCTCTGAGGTTATGATATGTGTGTACGTTAAACATTTTAATACAATTCTAAATACAGGTCTTTTCCTGACCAGTGGCTAATTATTAATTATCGTCCTGTTAGTCTTATGAGCTGTCTTACTGAATAATTCACTGGCATTCTAGGGACTAGAATAAATACTTTCTTGGAAAATGCAAACATTCTTTCAGAAGCACAAACAGGATTTAGATATGAATATTCTGCCATTGATGATATATTCATACTCCATAGCTTAATCAAGTTGTTCTAATTACGAAATAGGAAAATGTTCTTCTGTTTTATAGATTTAAAAAAAGGCTTTTGGTAGTGTATGGTCTTTGGTGTACATAATTAGCTCAGTTGATTAGTGGAAAATGTTTTTTGTATTATTAGATTAATGTATGATGGTATCAAATCGTATGTGTCTGTGAATTGTTTAAAATCAGTTATTTGAGTGTAATGTTGGAGTTAGACAAGAGGCAAATTTATAGCCAATTCATTTTTTCTTGTACATATATTTGAATGATAGAGAATCATATTTTACGCAACATGATTGTACATTGTTGCAGCTCGATTCAACTGCACATGATTGTTGTGTAGATATTGCTCTAGTTGTTATTGTATTTCTGTATGCCGACGACACAGCTCTGTTAGCGCTAACACGAAAATACCTACAAAAAGCACTTCATTGCTCTGAAACCTATTGTAAATTGTTGAAACCAACTGTAAACAGGAATAAAACAAAGGTTCTTATTATCATTTTGAATGAAAATTGTTTGGATTTTGTGGATGAATATAAATATCTTGGTATTCATTTCCAAAGCAATAATACATTTTCTAAATCTATTTAAACGCGTGACCAAGCAGCAAAGCAAACTAGTTTATCATACGTAAGGCACGTTCAAAAATGTCTCTTCAAAATGCCAACTCTATCTCTCTGACACCATGGTAAAACCAATACTACTATATGGATGTGAATTATGGAGCTATGATCATGGTAAACTAATTAAAAATGTTCATGTGCAGTTTCTCAGAAAAGTATTACCGGCAAAGAAAAGCACACCTTTATTAATGATCTATCGTGATCTTGGTAGAACCCCTCTTTGTGAAGATTCCTTTCCCCTGATCCTTAAAAAATACCATTCTTAAGGATATCCCGTCACCGCCTCCAGTAGAAACAAGAAAGATGAAATAAAACTCCGTTGAATGAACGTTTATGCAAATTGTGTGATAGTTATGATATTGAAGATGAGTTCCACCATATTTTAAAAGTAAATATTTCAATGAGCACACGAAAATGTACATTCCAAAACACTATTAAAAAAGACCAAATATGTTACAACTCCAACAATCACGTAAATGCCATAAGACATATGTCCAAAAGAAAAGTAATTTTTTTTAACATTTGATTGAAGATTGTAACAAATAACTCCCGTACACATTTGCCAGCCGTCATGTAATAAACTGCTGTTCTATTCTGAAACGTCGTATTGGAAATACGGCCGAGCTCGTTATCTCGAACTCCGTCATAATCGAATATACCGACATCTCGAGCCGATTTTCCTGTCCTGACTGCTTCACATTATAAATTTGCCCGCTTATCTCGAATTCGAGACAAAATACGATCTCGAACCTTGGACTCGGTCCCAACTTTGACTTTACTGTAGAATGTTGTACCTTTATCTCGAAGTTGACATTTGTCATATTAACTGTTTAAAAAAGCGCAAGTATATCTTGTACCTTTTCTCAATTTAAATAAATTGCTCAACTAATCATGTAAATATGTTTTAATCCAATTGTAGAGGTAATCTTTCTTGACAAAACATCGGGAGTAGACATGGGTAAAAACATGGAAGGGTATACGAGTTCAAATCCATAGCGAATATCACGAAAACCCGGGATCACCAGAAAATGTGTTTCACACGTTGTATTCACTTGGGGAATCGAACCTGGGTCTTCGGCGCTTCAACCACTAGACTACCACACCGCCCCTTAATATGCACATGACAAATCCAGGAGATAAAACATTGAGGCAATATGTTGGCATCCCCATGGGCACACATTGTGCTAACGTCCTTGCTGATCTGAATGGGAATTTTTCATCGGATTAGTAAAGCAAGGGACATTGGCCAAGAAGTTTAACTTCGACTTAAGTATATCGATCTGATATCGTTCGTGGAACAGCTTCTGATGCCTTGAATGTTGTGATCTCGATCGAACAACTTTTGAGCAAGAGTCGAAGTCTTTGAAGAAAGAGAATGCTCGATTGTGCCTCAAACGTTGCGAAATGTGCATTATTCCTGGATCTGTTGGAATATTGTGCAAGGGAAAGTTGATGATCATTGAAAAAATAATCAACATTTGAACTATAGAATATGACAATAAAAAATGTATTAATAAGAATCTATATTGTCACAGAGTAAGACTCCCTTCATACACCTTCTGAGTGACAGTGTCCACTTTTTATCGACTGAGTACCTCTGTAGCACACACACACGAGCATAGCGACATGTGCTGTTCATATATCCACGGATGTCTGTTCAGTAGCAATGCCTCGATATATTTACACTACCAATAATTGTTGTATTATTCGTAGTATTATACATATATCTATAAACATTGAGAAGATCGATTTGACATACTACATATAAACAAGGATTTGGTTTTCCGTCTTTTGCAGGTTAAGCGGAAGAGTTGGGTGGGCAAGCATCGGGCAACTATTCAAGACACAAATACAAAGAGACAAAATCATAAAGTATTTATTACACATAGCAAATATTTTTGTATGTTTGTACATGGCATCAGACAGTTCGGTAGATGTACAACATTAACAAATATTTGAAGCACTTGTGATGGCAAAGGTTTATACACATGGTTCAATACACAGCGCGTAGGAGCATCGTCGGTGAGGGGAATCCTGGGAACGGAGACACCATGGTGGGCGTCAAGACCGGAAACTGGACCATCATGTTGTTAATTCCGCGGGAAGACGTCATCATGGCGACCATGTGTGGAGAGAGGGGGGAAAGCGGGTCAGGGCCTCTATTTTTACTGCGAGCTCGTTTGTTCTGGAACCAAACCTGCAATATAGATACAATCAAGTTAGTCGGACGCAGAAGTAAACACATATTATGTAACTATATTTTATGTTGGGCATTAATTGTAGTTTGTAACGCACCGTTGAAATCTAACGCTTACCTTGATTCTCTTGTGGGAGATACCAATCTCGGCGGACATGTTCTCAATGACGTCATAATCCGGATACTTGTTCTCCGAGAAAATCTGTTCCATGGCGCGCACCTGTTTCCGTGTGTAGCAGGTTCGGCCACCATCGGGCCTGGGCCTCTTCGTTGTTGCAGGGTTTGAGGGTGGCAGAGGAGAGGTGGCCGGAATTAGGTTCCTGGATTCATCACTGGAGGAGCCTGCCGGACTGACTCTGCCAGAGCAGTTTGGACTAGCGTGAGTGGCGACATCTGAAACACAAGCAACGTTTGAAAACATTTTCATATTCTCAGTAATCCCCGGTTGTTTGGTTCAATGGCATAGCAGACAATATGAACAATGGAGTTCTTAATTCTCAGTTAGTTTTTAATGACCTACTACTTCCGAAATATAAAATGTGGCATAAGCTTTTGATTCCTACCTAACACATCGAACCGCATTACAAACCACCCTCAATCTAAACAAGGCTCTAACTCTAGAAGCAATACTAAACCCACAAAATAAACTAGAAAACTTCAAGGCCTTAGGCGTATTCTTAATAAAAACGGAACTAATAAAACGCATCTAAAAACACAATAACCTACCAAATCAAAATCACATAAACAAACAAAGATCCACCATACCCAGCTCCCTTAGTTCTCCTCCCCAATCCCATCGGCATCTATTCCAAATCTCAAAATTCCCAAATTCTATATAAGCAACCCCTAAAACCTCCCTCTTGGGTTGCACAGACCACTTTCGCCCCTTTCGGAAACACATTAAATGGCCTGACCGGGCCCGTGTGCGAAATACGCATCAGTCGGAAAGCGCACGTTAAATCTCCAAAGTAAGTAAGTAAGGAAGTTTGATTCCAACATTCTTACCATTTGAGAGCATGAAAAAATGACTTACCCTGGGAACTATTTGGATGTCCCCCGAGTGGCTGAGGTCTGGCTGGAGGAAGGTACGGGGAAACTGTAGGGTAGACAGACGGGACCATTGCAGGCTTGAACATAGGATAGGGATACATGGGGTACACACTCTTAGCTGAAGACGATGATGACTGTGGTATACCCTGTGACGTAGCATTTTCTGGAACTGTAGGCCCGTGATGTGGATCTTGGTTGAGATAGTACCCCAACCTAGTGTCAGCTGTTGTTACTTGAGGAGATGGCACTGATGACCTTGAGATGTCTGCTGACCCTGAATTATACTTAGCTGGTGACCTTGAGATGTCGTCATCTGGTGACTTTATGTTGTGATCTGTTTGTTGTCTCGTGTTCTCGTTTTCAGCTGTATGATTCAGGTCGATGCGGAGAGCGTCACTGTCGTCTGATCCGACGCTCTCATCCTGCGAGTATTTCTCTGGTTTCAAGATGTTGATGATGTTGAAGGGCGTGAATGTATGTGGCTTCTTCGTGGTCGAAAGTGAAAGTCCGCAACTTCACGGAGACTGGTGTTGTACTTTCATGGAAGAAACACGACAGCTCTGTTCCGAAGGAAGCCTTCTGTAACATAGATAAAATAACGGAACAAATATTATTATGAATAATATACTCTAGTTCAGCAGAAACTTGAACTAAATCTGAGTAACAAAAAGAAGCTTATTGCACAGTTGTTGCACATTATATATTTTCATTTCAGCATTTAATTTCAGGTAAGTAAGATAATGAGGTTACCACCAGAATGAAAACAATACTTACATTTGTTTCCATTTTATATTATCCAAGGCAATGTAGTGGTATTCTCTATTCTGTGAAGAACTGCCTGGGACTGTTGTTGTTGTTGAAGTAATTACGTCACCTTCATATACCTTACGGATGTTACATCTGGCACTCACCTGCACTTCCATATAAGGTAAGTATCTTAATCAGACCACACTCAGCCTTCGTGAAGTGATCACTTTCATAATTATTTGTTTGCAGTTGGAATATGTTGCGCTTGGGCAGACAGATGATTGACTGGCTACTAAACAGTGACGCACAACTCAGACGATAAGCCTTGATTACTTGATCCTTATTATCAAAACCATGTTATGAGTACATGTTGATTTTACCATTTATACCATTGCCGACTCACTTCCAGAGGTTGAGGATTCAAGTATTGAGTCTGTCAACCGTGCACCTTAGATCGTGTCCTGACCTGCATTTGAAACTTTATATTTACAAGTAGTAACGGCTACATGGCCCATAATACGTTTTAAATTACTGTTTTATTTCACAAAGGTGATATGTGACATTAAATACACAGTGGAAGATAATGTACTGTGTTATGATATATAAACCAGCTTTAAATGGACACTATACCTTAAATTATATTCTATGGCAATAGACTCGCATGAAATTACAGTTCATATGGTGCTATACTAAACCCGGTAAAACACAAGGGACCTATTAGCAGGGGATCCATGATACTTTAAGTCACATCTGTCGACATCCTCAGTGTGCGTTTCAAGTGTACAAAGTGTCAAATCAGATAATACGTACACTCTTGTTCGCTATATGCTTTCAGGAACAAGAGTGAGTGAGTGAGTTGGGTTAAACGCCGCTTTTAACAGTATTCCAGTTATATCACGGCGTGTCAGCTTAATGTGGGAGGAAAGCCCGAAGTGATGCAGGTCTTAAACGTTTACCACTTCGGTGAAACCCACTAGCACGGGTATGGTGCTGACAAACCTAGAAACATAAATGGGGCGAACCGGGATTCGAACCCACAATCATAGGTTTCTGGCGTGGCCAAGGGACGCAACTCTGCACAGCGAATCGCGGCGCCTTAGACGACTGGGCCACCCGTGCCCCCTCAGGAACAAGATGTTACTCCGATCGGAGAAATGGGGGTCTCTACTATTGGTGGGTTAGCCAAGTGATCAAAGTGTTCACTCGACCATACTTCAGTACAACGGGTGAAGCAAGTTTCTGCTGTCCCCTGCGTCAAACTTCAATATCTCACTGCGTCACACTGAACACGACCACAGGCTCCAGATTATGGCGCCTATTATATCACGTTTACACAAAGATCTTATATACATCCCATGATGCATTGACAACGGGGTCAAGGGCCACGGCCAGCAGCTCGCAGCTGACCACGCCCAGAAACGGAGACATGGCGTTGAAGGCGTTGCAAAAAGCCTTTCTGAGACACATGATGGCACAGTCGAGCTTCCCGATGTTTTCATGGCTGGCGACGATGTAGTCAGGCTCCCTGGCTCCCGTACTGTGATGAGTGAACACGACAGGCGACACTGAAACATGGAGGTGTAAATTAGTGAAGCTTACAAAAGGTCTTATGGCAGGTACATATGGATCATTTTCCAGATTTGATGCATCAGTGACTGGTATGTTACCCGATGCAATTCCCTGTTTAGACATGGACCATATGTTCCCGGTTTTTATTTCCAGGTGACCAATTGCCTTTGCATGTGTTTGTGACAGGCGAAATTTTTCGGGAGGATGCGCTCACCTTATCGCGAACATCTAGTGTCTCCAATATTTGATAGTTATTTATGAACACATGCTGATGATATAGTCGCAATTGTACATTCGACTATGTTTTTAAGAGAGAATATGGAAAGAGTTTTATAATTTGTATTTACCTCCACATGTGTTATGCACTGGGGCTCCCTTCACCACCACTTCACACAAGGTTAAAGACTTATAACCGGAGTTGTACTTGACAATTCTGACGTAACGTCCAATGGTGTTGACGGCGCAGGTCAAGTCTACCGTCAGACCGCTGCCCACCGTGCCTTCATGCAAATAGCAGACTTGTAGGCCGGTGATGCTGCTGGTCATCGGGTCAGAAGTATGGACCTCCACAGTGAAGTTGGTTAATCTTTCGTCTAGGTGGAAGAAAGCATATGATAATAATGTTGCCTGCAGACAAAGATTCACACCCTGTTCAACATGAGGCAAATGCTGTATAGTGAAAACCACCTTCACAGAATGAGAAAACATGGAAGGAACACATGAGTAGGGACCATTCATTTCAAACGTCAAAGAGACGGAAGCTATGCTTTCAAATAATGTTTCCAAATGTGGATTGCACTGGATAACATTGAATTGCATTGGTCTATACTGGACTGAGTGGGATTACTTTTGGATTACATTTGTTCACCTTGGAATGCCTTGAATGTCGGATATGATATTCAGTCATACATCGCTGTGTCGAACTTTGATGTCAAAGTTACGGTTGTCTCGAAGTAAAAGCTTGGTCTCTACGTGTACAATCTTTATTTAACGTTTCCAGTTGTGTCGAACATCGGATAACTCGAAGTATTTAGGTAGGTCCTTTAACTTTGACACAACGGTGGAAAGAGTAAAGACATACGTCATTATTGGTTTGATTAGGTTGAGAAGATGTGTGCATGTTTCATTCAATACGATTGCTGCTAAATTGAATATGAAACAATACACTTTTCAGTCCAACTGACAGTAATCAATGTGCATTTTTATCAGAATAATGTTATTTGAAACACTTTTTAAAGAGACCTATGCCATCAACTTCTGCAAAAAATAACTACATTAATTTTGATCATCAAACGGTTTATTAGAAAGCCTGACGCCGAATGCAGACTTACCCCCGCATTATTTTCATGAACAAATTGAAAAATGTTTCTTATTAGCTTGTAAAATCTGCTACTGTTTTATCTCCCAATGCTCTAAGTGTAAAGTTTTGTAAATGACTCTTTTACACTAATATATGTTCCAAAACGTTTATGACTTGTAGAGGCATAATAGCTTTTGAAAACTGTAATTGTTTACAAATTTGTTAATGATGCTTCACTGTATAACCGTTTTCAGTTCAAGTTCCATTCTCAAGAAGATGGATATAATTGTTTATTTTACTTACGGCAACAGTCCCCCCTGTTGGTGACGGAGACAGTGAGGACAGTAAAGATCTTCTGGAGATCTACCTGCCACCAGTCTAGCGACGGCTCCGGCTCATTCACCGTGTGGGCACAACTTCCGGCGCTGTGGTCGGTGTTCTTGTTGCCGTCAACAGCCAGATCTGATGTCGATTCACTTTCTACCGAGCTCTGTTCGGTAGGTCTATTCAGTGCAAGGTTCGACAGTTCCAAACCTTGACCGAGAGAACGTGTTTGTTAAAATACACATTTAGCCTTTGTTTAACTCTAATGTCTAGACATCAGTCTGTTGCTTGCGTTAATACAACAAAAACTCTATGAGCATTAGACCTGTGAAACTCTTTGAAAAACTAAAGTGGTAAAGTAATCGTTCAACCCTCACGTACGCCTTCTGAAAAACTGAATATGCATTGACACATGTCCTGGATGTTTGATACAGGCATAAACATACTAAAAATGTAACATAATTTATGAAAGGGACCCTAACCTGTCGCACTGAGCACGGTAGCTACCAGTACACACACATCAATGTTTTAGCCATCGTCCTCCTAAATGAATTACTTCCCTGTGTTGTAATATCATCCAAATCTTGAATGCATTTGTCAGAGAGTATCCATTGTGACCCTGTTATTTGACATTAACGCATTGGTGTATGTGAACATGAAAATGGAACTGCGATATGTTCGATATTTGATACAACCACGGCGTTTTACATATAGAATTGTTTGCAAGTACCTCGGATGGTCCGAATGATGTACCATTATCGATAATTGCTTTTTACATTCTAAAGAAGGATGAATGGCAGTTTTGTGACAATCTATTTTCAGACAATTGTAGAAACTATTTGACAAAACAAGGCCCCGACCAAAAGGCTACCCCACCGCCACAACAAATGAAGACATTACTTCACTTGCAGTGTTATGTTAATTTTCAAGGAAATTAAATCAAATACAGTGATAATAAAAGCGACAAAACCTTTTCTCAATCATAAGACATTCCTGCTAATGTGTTTATGAATCACTATCAACTCGTTATGATAGCAGATGTTCGCGAAATGATAAGCCGATCATGTCCAACCGGTGGCACCCATCGCAAACACATGCAAAGGCAAGTCAAATGTTCATCTGAACCAACTTATAGTCAAAACGGGGAATTGCTTCGCACATTCGATTTAGGAAATGCCATCAACATGTCTACGATAAAGCCTTTTGAAAGCATAAATATGGTCTTGAATGCTATAACCCTGTTCAAACATCTGAGCAAGAGTCACATGACCCTCTTTGAAAAAGTAAAGTAATCAATTAATCCTTATCATTATGTACGCCTTTTTCTGAGAATAACGAAATAAGAACTGAAACATGTAATGGATATTTGCCACGGGACAACAAATACAAACTATAAAAGAGAACCACATCTGTCAACACTGACCTGGGCAGCTACGATTATACACACTAGTGCATTAGCCATTGTCCTCCTGAATGAACTACTTATGATATCCTCCAAATCTTGAGGGTATTTGTCAGGGGGTATTTATGGTGACTCTGTTTCCAAACGCTAATTCATTGTGTTATATGGCAGTAGAAATTGTTATAGGTCTATCTGTGGTGATTGTTTGTGGCAGGAAATGATTAAAGGGCTCGAAAAGTCTTCTCTCCTCATAGCTCCAACTTACCAAGGTTCCAACATTGGCAGATGGTTATCCGGGTGACTCATAAGGGGAATTTTAGGCAGTACACTCACCCTCCTGGGAATGGTCAGCTTATTTTCAGGTAGGGTCAGTCGGCTTAGTCAGGTAAGGTCAGGGAAGGTCAGGGAAGGTCAGCTACTCTCAGTTCAGACAGGTTCGAATCCAGAAATTCGCGTATTTCATTCCCTAGGAAATCAGGTACGCCAATTGATCCGGAACAGGATTCAGGTTTGTCGTCAGATATAAGATGTAGGTATTGTCACAAGCCAGGTCATTTGATTTCAGAGTGTCGTATTCCCCGTGCTTTTGTGACACTTAAAGCTGATAAATCCACATTACGACCCATTCCTTTTCTACGGGATACATGGTCAACCCAGTCTTTGCTGTTCGAGGGTGTGATGTCATTCTGGGAAGTGTCTTCTGCAAACACTGATGTTTCAATTGAGGGTATTGGTGGAAAAACAAGTGCACTTCGCCATTTTGTTAATTAGCAGTCACATGTGGTGTCGGGTTTAGTGAAGGTTGCTGTCACGAAAACTGTTCCAGTTCCAGACAGCTTAGCCGTTTTGCACCTATGCAATTGGCACTGATGGGTTGGAATGCTTGATATTTTGGTTAAAAACTGAATTATCACCAAATCTTATTTATTGCTTCTTGGTCAATGCTGAACTATTTATAATTAAGAATTTACTTTTCCCTTTTTCTGCAAGGATTAAACATATGCATCATCAGCTCATTGTGGCTCGTGCGCAAACATGCCACTGTAAGAAAAAGGTTTTCCATGTATTTGTATTGTAGATTTCTGTATCTGTAATGTACTTTCGATGTTTATCCAACAGGGTCATTCATTCTAATTAACGGTTTCCAATTAATTAACAATGTTTCCAGTATAAATGTACGATCATGAATAAAATAAATAAATGCACATTCAAGTTGACAGTTACAGGTGATTCATTATCTGAGGTTTAATTCTGTGTAATAGATGTAAAAAATGCAGAGGTCTTATTTCAGGTCATTAAGAGTCTCGGCCACTAAACAGCCCTTCCCAACTCTATATATGGAGATATTGTTTGAGGGATATACAATGATCTTCACATGTAAAGAGATAGTGGAATTCAACTCAAGCAGGTCATAAGTTGCATAATTTACAGACTCTATCCTTCCCTCGGCATAACTTGCTGTCGGCCCGTCTCAATGGGTACATTATGGTTGCTTGTAAGGAATTATAATATTGGCAAGGATATGGTTTTAGGCATTCAAAAATAATCATTAAAATGTGGTGACGTATAACAATGTTGGTATTATAAACCTTTAGAGCTTGACATTCCTTCTAGGTTTGAAATTAAAGCAACAAAACCATTTCCATTATCATAAGCAATCTCTACCAAAATAGTCCATTGTACGATTCCAAACGCTGAACTGCGGTAGGTTTGATGTTTGATGTTGTACGCTTTGGTGGATTTACAAATACCTCCTTTAAACTGTCATTAATTCGAATTAGTTTACACAATCTAACCTGGGACAAATCGTACAAAATTGTCTTGAGAATCTGATAACACTCTGATCAAATGGCTACATCACCACCTCAAGTTGCATCCAAACAAGAAAGGTAACACATTATTTCATTTGCAATGTTATTGTTATATATCCAAATGAAATTAAATAGGATGATAAAATAATTGTTTTATCTTTATCTTCACACTATTAATAAACATGAACTGAAACTATACTGAATGTTTACCACAGGAATAAACACTCCTAAAAGTGTGAAATATGAAAGAGAAGCAAACCTGTCGCACTGAGCAGAGAAGCAGCCAGGAAACACGCCAGCACATTAGCCATCGTCCTCACAAATAAACTTTCCTCTGTGTTTAAGTTATATCATCCAACTCTTATTTGTCTTTGTCAGGTGTATCCTTGGAAACCCTGCATTAGTGTATGTGAATATGCATGAAATGGCTTCAACGCGTCTTTCAATCTTAATCGATACTACTAGTCACTGTAATATAGACATATCTCTTGTCAAATCAATATCATGCACCATTGGTTGTGTCTGCCTTTGCAAATGTTTTTCAAAGCAGACCGGAATATAATGTTAGTTTCTTATTGTCTTTGTGTCCAACTGGTCCGGATCCTATGTGACATTTCCATGTATTGTGTGCGCTCTTCAGAAGGTTAACTTCTTGGGACATCTCGCTCATAAAGAATGAAAAGTGTAAATACCGGTTTGCGTAACTTAAACCACAACGTTTGTTCCGATCAATGCTTTATATTTACGGTAGTTAGGATACGCTCACGTGTTCGCAAACACCTGGGCCGACTTGCACAAAGCGATCTTAGCGCTAAGACTATTGTAAGCCTATGTTAAAGTTACGATCATCTTAGCGCTAAGATCGCTTTGTGCAAGCGGGCCCTGGTCTGATCACTATTTGACAGTGATTCATAAACAAAGGCTCATGATATAGTCGGAATCGTAGAATCGACTGGCTGAGATTTCTTATGAAAATAGAAGGGTTTTTTCCCTCTTTTCTTTACAAATTCTCCAAAGCTGCATTCTACCATTATATCTCTATCTTTGCCATCAACAGTACGCGAGATGGACCTCGTAGCTGCTGTCCTCGAGTCACTACCGTACGTCAAGACCCTCAAATACAGGGCAACCATTTGCAGGTTCGGTTCCAAATGGCTACGGAAACTGCACTGAATATGATAGGACTTAATCAGTGCCACAACCATCAGGCGTCTACTTTTACCGAGGGGTGGATACTGTAGACAGCCACCTGTCCTTCCAGTTCAGAGGTAATTGGCGACATCGACAATAGGGGGCGTTTTTTAACTTTGTCCTCCATGATGGAGGAATGTTCATTAACAATTTGTTATATATTATAGTCGCCTTAAACCTCCTGGAAACCATTTCGTGCCATCCACATGTCTACCATAAAGCCTTTTGAAAGCCTTACGATGGTCTTGAATGCTATAACCCTGTTCAAACATCTGAGCAAGAGTCACATGACCCTCTTTGAAAAAGTAAAGTAATCAATTAATCGTTTTATCATTATGTACGCCTTTTTCTGAGAATAACGAAATAAGAACTGAAACATGTAATGCATGTTTGCCACGGGAAAACAAATACAAACTATAAAAGAGAACCACATCTGTCAACACTGACCTGGGCAGCTACGATTATACACACTAGTGCATTAGCCATTGTCCTCCTAAATGAACTACTTATGATGTCCTCCAAATCTTGAGGGTATTTGTCAGGGGGTATTTATGGTGACTCTGTTCCCAAACGCTAATTCATTGTGTTATATAGCAGTTAGAATTGTTATAGGTCTATCTGTGGAGATTGTTTGTGGCAGGAAATGATTGAAGGGTTCGAAAAGTCTTCTCTCCCCATAGCTCCAACTTACCAAGGTTCCAACATTGGCAGATGGTTACCCGGGTGACTCATAAGGGGAATTTTAAGCAGTACACTCACCCTCCTGGGAATGGTCAGCTTATTTTCAGGTAGGGTCAGTCGGCTTAGTCAGGGAAGGTCAGGGAAGGTCAGGGAAGGTCAGCTACTCTCAGTTCAGACAGGTTCGAATCCAGAAATTCGCGTAGTTCATTCCCTAGGAAATCAGGTACGCCAATTGATCCGGAACAGGATTCAGGTTTGTCGTCAGATATAAGATGTAGGTATTGTCACAAGCCAGGTCATTTGATTTCAGAGTGTCGTATTCCCCGTGCTTTTGTGACACTTAAAGCTGATAAATCCACATTACGACCCATTCCTTTTCTACGGGATACATGGTCAACCCAGTCTTTGCTGTTCGAGGGTGTGATGTCATTCTGGGAAGTGTCTTCTGCAAACAGTCGACTGGTTGAGATTTCTTATGAATATGGAAGGGTTTTCTCCAAAGTGGTGGACACTGTAGACAAACACCTGTCCGTCCAGTTCTGAGGTAATTGGCGACCTCAACAATAGGGGCGTTTTTTAATCTTGTCCTCCATGATCGAGGAATGTTCATCAATGATTTGTTATACATTATAGTCGTCCTAAAACTCCTGGAAACCATTTTCGTTACACATGTCTTTAATTTGATTGATTTTCTTATTTTGCTCAAAATTTTATCACAAAGCCGGAATCTTTACAGTGATTATTTAACCATAAATGTCCCTTTATTATGTCATCTAAATCATATAGAAGATATTTCATGCTTACTGTAGAACTTCGCCAAAGTATATAAAATATTAACGACATGAAGATAATGCATACATTAATACGAGCTCTTTTATTAAAAAAAATGACAATGTTAAATACTCATTAAAAGCATTGAAATCTATTACCACCTACTTCAAAAGGCTTTATTAAATTTATCTTCTTTTGTATCATTTCAAATGTAGTCAAAGAAAATATAAATTAACCTTTTATATGAAACTTTTTGGCATGTTCGGTAATGACGTAACACGTGCACTATTGTTGACAATGCAAGTGTTTGCATTTTCATATTTTTACATGTAAATGTCAAATTTCCTCTCCCTCAGAAGAGGGGTTGGAGCGTGGTGCTATTCTAAACCGGGCAAACACAGAAATGCAGGCGATCCATTATACATAAAATCCGATCTGTGGACATCCTTACAAGTGCCAAATCAGATAATACGCACACTCTTGTTCTGTATAAGATACAAGTAACATCTTGTTACTCCGATCAAGAGATGGGGCGTCTCTACTATACATCGATTGGTGGCTAAGCCAAGTGATCAAAGTGTTCACTCGACCATACTTGAGTACAACGTGTGAAGACAATTTCTCCTGTCCCCTGCGTGAAACTTCAATCACTCACTGCGTCACACTGCCCACAGGCTCATGATTATGGCGCCTTTCACACCACGTTTACGCAATGATCTTAAAAACATCCCATGATGCATTAACAACGGGGTCAGGAGCTACGTCTAGCAGAAGTTCGCAGCTGACCACGCCCATTGAGGGAGACCTTGAGTTGAAGGCGTTGCAAAAAGCCTTTCTGAGACACATGATGGCACAGTCGAGCTTCCCGATGTTTTCATGGCTGGCGACGATGTAGTCAGGCTCCCTGGCTCCCGTACTGTGATGAGTGAACACGACAGGCGACACTGAAACATGGAGGTGTAAATTAGTGAAGCTTACAAAAGGTCTTATGGTAGACACATGTGGATCATTTTCCAAATTGATGCACCAGTGACTGTCATGTTGTTCCCTATTTTGACTTGTACTATATGTTCCCATTTTATTTTCAGTTGACCAATTGCCTTTGTATGTGTTTGTGACAGGCGCCACTTGTGGGGCAGGATATTATTTCGCTCACCTTATTGCGAACACCTAGTTTTTCCAATATTTGACATTTATTCATAAACACATGCTCATGATATAGTCGGAATTGTACATTCGACTATGTTTTTAAGAGAGAATATGGAAAGAGTTTTATAATTTGTATTAACCTCCGCATGTGTTATGCACTTGGGCTCCCTTCACCACCACTTCACACAAGGTTAAAGGGATATCACCGGAGTTGTACTTGACAATTCTGACGTAACGTCCCATGGTGTTGACGGCGCAGGTCAAGTCTACCGTCAGACCGCTGCCCACCGTGCCTTCATGCAAATAGCAGACTTGTAGGCCAGAGTTGCTGCTGGTCATCGGGTCAGAAGTATGGACCTCCACAGTGAAGTTGGTTAATCTTTCGTCTGGGTGGAAGAAAGCACATGATAATAATGTTGCCCACAGACTCGGAATCACACCCTGTTCAACATAAGACAAATCCTGTATATTGAAAACCACATTCACAGACTGGCAATACATGGAAGGAACACCATGTAGGCACAACAGTAGGGACCATTCATTCCAAACATCAAAGAGACGAAGGATATGCTTTCAAATTATGTTTCGAAATGTGTATTGCACTGGATAACATTGAAATGCACTGGCTTTTACTGGAATGAGCTAGATTGCTTTTGGATTACATTTGTTCACCTTGGAATGCTTTAAATGTCGGATATAATATACAGTCAAACACCGTTGTGTCGAACTTACGGTTGTCTCGAAGTAAAAGCTTGGTCTCTACGTGTTCATTATTTACTTATCATTTTCAGTTGTGTCGAACCTCGATAACTCGAAGTACAATGGTGAAAAGTGTGTAGTTATATTTTGAAATACGTTATTTCTGGTTTTGGTTAGCTTGGGAAGGTTTGAAATAACTTTTGTGTGCATTTTACATTCAGAATAATGCTATTTAAAGGCATTTTAATTAAGAATTGACTTTCACAAAAAAACAACAACTATTTTTACGTCAAAGGACGTAGACCTTGATGTATACACAATTATATTTAGGACGTGTGACTTAAAAATGCACAACATACTCAACAGGGACAACGTTGGTAGTTTCTGTAAACAAATGTACTTAAATAATATCCACATAAGATGAGAAAGGTCTGTTGAGAATTACCTCAGTAAGTCAGTCTCAATGTCGTAATACATTTACATCAAGTACAAGACGTCAAAAAGGCCGACACGATAAACGTAACGGGAGAATTCGGAAGTTGTTAATAAGCCTGTGGCGGTTACATGTTTTAGTCACCATTGATCAACTGGCAAATTAATGAAAGGCGATTAAAGATATGTCAAATAAACATTAAGGTATATTCATAGATTGCTGTAGACTGTCACCGTCAGCCTTGACACGGATTGAGTCGAAAGAGCATTTCTTCGTTTTGTTGATTAGGATGGGTCGTAGCGAGGGTATTGGTGAACAATCATGCAGTCAAACTCTCTGACATTTCTCATTGTATACAGAAATGCCGAGTTCAAGATGTTAAATGTTAAGAAAGAACGCTTCAGTGTGTATTCGTGCTAGGGAATTCCCAGAGGTTTCCCCAGGAGTGTGAAAGTAGTCCGTCAGTGTTTACGTCATTTCAAGAACACGGTCTCGTGAAAAACGTAGGAACGTCAAATTGTGTCGTTCATACATTTATGAACGACAATTTCGCGGTCATGTGACCGACCTCTCGTCCAATAGAAAACCGTATTTCGTGAAAATTTCAAATTTTAAAAATATTGGGTATTGAGGAAATTCATTCAAAATTTTGTTAATTTGTTCTTGGGTCAGCTACCGGTGACCAAATAAGGCAATATTAGCATATTTGCGGAACGCACCCGATATATGTAAACTATCAATTTAGAGTTATCCCATACTGGATACGTTTGCTCAGATAACCATATATACGATATTCCAGACGATGCCATTACATGCTTAAGCGCCTTGATGACTTTGGGGACTTTGGGGATATAAACTGGGCTGTGAACAGTTGTTAGAGAAACTCTTTTGTCGCATGGATTTGCATATGCGTAGATATCCTAAGATGTTGGAAATAAAACTTTGTTCATTAAAAATGTTTAAACAACTATGTAAACATATGTAAATATATGTATTGCCAAGGTTAGTCAGCTGATATCACATTTTCAAAATAGCTACATGCCCATTCCATGTTGGAAATCATACCACTTATGTATTTAGCAACTGTTCGATCAGTTCAGGTGTGGTATACAACCAGTATATGAAGATATAAGAATGAAATACCTGCCTTACTATTATTATACGTATCCAACACAAAGAAACTTTGTACAGTTAATGAATAGCAAAAATAGCTACATTCTTCTCAGACTTGCAGTTTTTGTTAAAAGATATGTGAAAGAAAGATGATACATTGAATATTAATAAAACTCAAATGTGTACATCTATTCAAGTGGAGCTCCGTGACGAATTTTCCAACAACAAAATGTCATGGTACTATTGGCCACATGCTCGAAATTTGTCATCCTGCCTGCCTGCCTGCCTGCCTGCCTGCCTGCCTTCGAGGATTTTCAATTTACGGCACGTTTAGTACAGCTTTGATTTATGACCCATCTCCGATAAAACAATTGATTAGTTTTTAATTCGGCATCTTAGACACAAGCGTTCTCGTGCTTTAACTATAATAATTCAGGACAAAACTGTACTTTATTACACTACACATGGGGTTAGAACAGACTTTATTTCTTACTCTAGCCTTTTACACTAATATATATCCCAAAAGTCATAAAAAATATTGAAAACGAATTTAGTAATGATGCTTCACTGTATAACCGACTTCAGTTCAAATTCTGTTGTCACGAACACTCATATAATTGTTTATTTTACTTACGGCAACAATCCCCCCTGTTTGTGATGGAGACGGTTAGGACAGTGAAGATCTTCTGGAGATCTACCTGCCACCAGTCTATCGACGGCTCCGGCACAGCAGCCACGTGGGCACAACTTCCGGCATTGTCGTTAGTGTTCTTGTTGCCGTCAACAGCCAGATCTGATGGCCTTCCGTACTGTACTGAGCTCTGTGCAGTAGGCCTATTCAGTGCAAGGTTCGGCAGTTCCAAACCTGGACCGAGAGAACGTATTTGTTAAAATAAACATTTAGCCTTTGTTTATCTCTAACGTCTAGAGATCAATCTGTTGCTTGCATTAATAAACAAAAACTCTACGAGCATGAGTCCTATGAAGCTCTTTGAAAAACTAAAGTAGTAAAGTAATCGTTCCACCCTCATGTACACCTTCTTCACAGAATAACAGAATATGTCCTGGTTGTTTGAGACAGGCATAAACATACTAAATATTTAACATATGAAAGAGAACCAAATCTGTCGCACTGAGCACAGTAGCTACCAGTACACACACATCAATGCTTTAGCCACCGTCCACCATGAACTACTTCACTGTGTTGCAATAATATCACCCAAATCTTGATGGTATTTGTGAGAGGGTATCCTAGGTGACCATGTTACTTAACAATAATGCATTGGTGTATGTGAACATGAAAATGGAACTGAGATATGTTCGATATTTGATACAAACCACGGCGTTGTCCTTATAGATTTGCAAATACATTCCGATGGTCCGAATGCTGTACCATTTTTATATACATTCTAAAGAAAATTAAAGAGTTTTCATGATAATCTACTTTTTTAATTGTAGAAACTATTTGACAAAGTCAGGTCCTGACCAAATGGCTACCCCACCACCACAACATGCACCCTCACAACAAATGAAGACATTACTTCACTTGCAGTGTTTCCATGAAATGAGATGAAGTACAGTGATAATAAAAGCGACCAAACCTTTCCACAGTCATAAGACATTTCTGCATATTTGTTTCTGAATCACTCTCAAATAGTAATGATATCAGGTATTCGCGAAATGGTGAACCTATCCTGTCCCACCGCTGGCACCCGTCACAAACACATGCAAAGGCAAGTCAAATGCTCATTTGAACAAACATGGGGAATTGCTTCGCATATTCAAATTTGGAAATGTTCTCCACACAACTTTTTGAAAGCCTTACTGTGGTGCTATAACCCTGTTCAAACAACATCTGAGCAAAAGTCACATGAAGCTCTTTGAGAAAGCGAAGTAATAAATTAATCATTTTATCAATCTGTTGGCCTTCATCATAGAATAACGAATAAGAACTGAAACATGTAATGGATGTTTGCCACAGGACACTAAAAATATAATCTATGAAAGAGAAACACATCTGTCAACACTGACCTGGACAGTTTATACTGGACTATTATACACATCGGTTCATTTGTCATCGTCCTGAAAAATGAACAGCCTATTTCTGGTGTTCCCCGCCGTGATACTTCTGGAATATTGCTAAAAGCGGCGTAAAACCATACTCACTCACTCCAAAATGAACTACTTCACCATGATACAATAATACCTTCCAAATCTTGAGGGTATTTATCAGCGGGTATTTATGGTGACTCTGTTTCCTAACGCTATTTCATTGCGTTATATGTCTGATGACTACTCGATTACTTATAAGGGGAATTTTTGCAGTACAGTTACTCTCCTAAGAATGGTCAGGTTGTTTTCAGGTAGGGTCAGTCGGCTAATTCAAGTCACGAAAGGTCAGCTACTTTTGTTCAGACAGATTCGAATCCCTGAAAGGCGGATCGTTCATTCCCTAGGAAACCAGGTACGCCAATTGGTTCGAAAGTGGATTCAGGTTAGTCGTCAGATATAAGATGTAGGTATTGTCATAAGCCAGGTCATTTGATTTCAGAGTGTCGTATTTTCAGGGCCAAAAAGGCTTCACCCTATGCTTTGTGTGTGACCATTATATGTCCTGGCCTATTTTTCATATCATTTACACGGAGGAGGCGAATGTTTGTGGTGTTCAAACATGCCACCGTAAGGAAAATGTTTTTTCCGTGTATTTGTATAGTAGATTTTTGTATCTGGTTGAAAGATATTTAATTTACTTTCGATGTATTATTCAACAGGGTCATTCAATCTAATTAAAGGTTTCCAATTAATTAACAATGTTTCCAGTATAAATGTACAATCATGTATAAAATAAATAAATACACATCCAAGTTGACAGTTACATGAGATTCATTATCTAAGGTTTAGTTGTGTGTAATAGAATAATAATAAATAAAAATGCAGAGGTCGTATTTCAGGCCATTAAGATTCTTGGCCACTAAACAGTCCTTCACAACTCTATATATGGAGATATTGTTGAAGGGATATACAATGATCTTCACATGTAAAGAGGTAGTGGAATTCACCTCAAGCAGGTCATAAGATGCATAATTTACAGACTCTATCCTTCCCTCGGCATAACTTGCTGTCGGCCCGTCTCAATGGGTACATTATGGTTGCTTGTGAGGAATTTAAAAAAATGACACATATGGTTTTCGGTCTTCATAAATACTTATTAAAATGTGGTGACGTATAATAATGTCGGTAATATAAAATGTTACCGCTCGATATTCCTTCCAGGTTTGAAATTAAAGCAAGAAAACTAATTCAATTATCATAAGTAATCTCTACAAAAATAGTCCAGTGTACGATTCCAAACACTGAACTTGGGTATGTTTGATGTTTGATGTTGTACGGGTGGATGGATTTACAAATACCCCCTGTAATCTGACATAATTTAGTATTGGTTTCCACAATATAACCCAGGATAAATCGTACAAAATTGTCTTGAGAATCTGATCATTTACGGATAACACTCTGATCAAATTGCTACATCACCACCTCAAGTTGCATCCAAACAAGAAAGGTAATACATTATTTCATTTGCAATGTTATTGTTAAGTATCTAAATGAAACTAAATATGATGATAAAATAATCGTTTTTCCTTTATCTTCACACTATTAATAAACATGAACTGAAACTATACTGAATAAACACTCCTAAAAGTGTGAAATATAAAAGAGAAGCAAACCTGTCGCACTGAGCAGAGAAGCAGCCAGGAAACATTCCAGCACATTAGCCATCGTCCTCACAAATAAACTTTCCTCTGTGTTTAAGTTATATCATCCAACTCTTATTTGTCTTTGTCAGGTGTATCCTTGGAAACCCTGCATTAGTGTATGTGAATATGCATTAAACGCGTCTTGCAATCTTAATCGATACTACTATTCACTGTAATATAAAAACATTTCTTGTCCAATCAATAGCATGCACAAATGGTTGTGTCTGCCTTTGTAAACTGTTTTCAAAGCAGACAGGAATAAAATATTATTTTCATCTTGTCTTTGTGTCCTATTGGTCCCGATCTTGTGTGACATTTCCATGTATAATGTGCGCTCTTCAGAATGTTAACTTCTTTGAACATCTCGCCCATAAAGAACGGAATGTGTAAATACCGATTTACGTAACTTAAACCACAACGTTTGTTCCGATCAATGCTTTACATTTACGGTGGGTAGGATACGCTCACCTGTTCGCAAACACCTGGTCTCATGACTGTTTGATAGTGATTCATAAACAAAAACTCATGATATCGTCAGAATCGTAGAATCGACTGGCTGAGATTTCTTATGAATATGCAAGGGCTTTTCCGTCTTTTCTTTACAAAATTCTCCAAAGCTGCATTCTACCATTATATCTCTATGTTTCCATCAACAGCACCCTAGCTTGACCTCGTAGCGGCAGTCCTCGAGTCACTACCGTACGTCAAGACCCTCAAATACAGGGCAACCATTTGCAGGTTCGGTTCCAATTGGCTACGAAAACTGCACTGAATATGATAGGAACTAATCAGTGACACAACCATTCAGGCATCCACTTTGACCGAGGGGTGGATACCGTAGACAACCACCTGTCCATCCAGTTCAGAGGTAATTGGCGAAATCAACACTAGGGGCCGTTTTTTAACCTTGTCCTCCATGATGGAGGAATGTTCATCTACGATTTGTTATACATTATAGTCGTCCCAAAAACTCCTGGAAACCATTTTATCACACATTTCTTTAATTTGATTCCTTTTCTAATTTGCCAAACATTTTAATCTTTAAAGTGATTATTTAAACACAAATGTCCCATTATTATTTCATCTAAATCATACACAGAAGATATTTCATGCTTACTGTAGAACATCGACCAAGTATTTTAAATATTAACGATATAATAATGCATACATTGATGAATAAACGTTAAAAGCATTTCTTCAAAAGGCTTTGTTAAATTTACCCTCTTTTTTATAATTTCAAATGAAGCTATAGAGAAACTTTCTGGCGGATTCGGCGATGACGTAATTTTACCTGTAAATGTCAAGTTTCTTCTCCTCCTGCTCGGCTAAATTCTCTATATATATTCAGGTCTTTTATGAACTTTGTTCTGTTGACCTATTCAGTGCAAGGTTCGGTAGATCCAAACCTGGACTGAGAGAACGTGTTTAATGTCATTTAACCCTAGACTCTAAAGTCTAGAGATCAGTATGTACGCCTTCTTTACAGAATAATGGACTATGCATTGACACATGTCCTGAATGTTTGACACAGGCATAAACATACTAAAAATGTAAGATATGAAAGAGAACCAAACCTTTCTCACGTCAACATCTAAACACTAGTGGTGATTATTCTTTTAGTTCTTAACAGCGAAAGGTGATAATTAAATACTACTAGTACTGGAAAACCCTCATGAAGTATGGTAATCCGCCTTTAGATAGCCACAGGAGAAAATTACTTGGATATAAATAAACGCGTCGATTGTCCAATCCCGACTATATCCTGTGTATGTGTTTATGGATCTCTATCACTTAGTGATGAAACAAGGCGAGCATATCCTGCCCGTCAAGTGGCACTCGTCGTTATAAACACATGCAAATGCAAGTCAATTGTTCACCTTAAAACCCACGGGGAACTATGGCACAAGTCAAAATGGGGAATTGCATCGGACATGTTTGTCACTGATGCGTCAGATTTGGAAATGTCCACCACATGTCTACCATAAAATGTTATGAAAGCTTTACCGAAGCCTGGTATGTTGTAACCTTGATCGGACACCTTTGATCAAGAGTTGTATAACGCTCTTTGAAATCTATGCTCGTTGATACCTCCAAAGCCTGGAGCTGCTGGAATGTTGTTCGACATAGAGAGAAAGGTGACCACTGGAAAAGATAATCAGTAATTGGATTACTGTAGAAATAAAAGAAGCATAACAGAAGTATAAAATATCAAAATACTGTCACAGGGTAAGACTCAACAGTTATATGTACACCCGAAGAAATCACTTGTTCATATATATATATATATTTATACATATAGTACAGTCCAAATATTTGTGCTTGTCAAAACTCCTTTATGCACACTTGTATATATACGATGTCAAAATATAGAAGAGTGTTTTGACATCCTAGTTACTTTGTTTTTTTCTGTTTATTGCGTGCTTTAGGTCTCCTAAGTGTCTTTATGTACACTTTACTCGTTTGTCATCTTTGTCATAGATATGCTACTTCTGCCAAGCTCCATGTGTATATACAACTTTGACTAAAGTGCTGGAACATGTGAATATCGCGAACGAGCACGTGAAAACTGCGTTATCAGCATAGCCTCTTAAACAACCAGTTCATATTCATTGTTAATCCATGACAAACGTCTGCGCTATTGACGATAACAGTAAAGCATGAACCTCATCAGGTCTTGATAGACTCAATTACCATTGATATTCATTATTAATCCAAAACAAAATTCTGTACCGTTGACGATAACAGTCAAAAATGAAACTCAATGGACTCAATATCGTTTTTCCGTCTGATCATATCTGGATATTCTTTGGCTTGCTTGTCCATTCTTGTTACTCTCACTTACATAACAACGACAGACACAAATAGGAATATGTCAATAAAAGCGACAAAATATCTTTGTTTGTTTTTTGTTTAACGCCGATCTCAGCAATATTCCAGCTATATGACGACGGTCTGTAAATACTCGTGTCTGGACCTGACAATCCAGTAATTGACATCATGAGCATCGATCCAAGCAATTGGGATACGATGGCATGCCTCTTACGACAAGCACAGTCGCCTATTCTACCCCGAATCTTCACGGATCTAAAGAAATATTTACCAAAGCTGAGTCGATTGTACAATTCCGACCATATCACGAGCATGAGCCCATGAATCATTATTAGATAGTGATGACACCAGGTGTTCGCGAAAAGGTGAGCGTATCCTGCCCCTTCGGTGGCACCCGTCACATGCAAGTCTCTTGTTCACCTGAAAACACACGGGATTATAGTAAAAGTAGGGAATTGCATCCGATTTAATCTTTGTCATCAATATTTAAGAAAAAATCATCTTGTCACAGACTTGCTCTTGCATAGATTTTCTCTTGATGACTGTTGAAGTTCATTAAATCAGCTTTTCTCTCTCACTTTAGCTGGTGCTGTGGAAATGGTCATGTCAGAAGTATCAAACTTGAATGTGTAAGAAAGAGAAATATATATATACTTCAAAATTGACATTTGCCAGTTGGCCAAATTAGGCCCTTATTATACCTCTTCCTTCGATTGGCCAGTAGTGGAATCTGACCCAAGGGAATCTGACCCAATGATCCACTTATTGTAAAGGTACCGAAAAGATTGTTTTTCTATGTGTTGAGAAACAATCTGAGAGAACAGATGATTATTGTATTTATTATCTCATCTCGACATCTGCTCATCTCTTTATTGCTGCAATTAATCCTTTTTATGAGAATAAAACACGTCTTCCAGCCGCAACATCGTAGTGGTTTTTCATACATGATGTCCTAATGAAACAAAACAAGAACAAACACCACCAAAAACGATGCGATATACAGCAACATGTCAAACAACCGGAAGAGTTATCAGAATAAGAATACAACACTTTTGTTATCATGCGTATGCCACAGCGATGTAATTGATAAAGTGTTCTTTTTATCGTAAAAATGTTTCTTTAAAGCTTTTGCTTATAGCTAAAAACTGGACACCGCCATTTGTTCAGGCTCGCGCTGAGGTAAGATGCCAAAGGGAACAGTCTATACCGACGTCAATAATGATTAAAATGACTGAATTCTGTTCTTCAGGCCAACCTTAGTTGACAGACTGATGTGTGGAAATCCAATATATTCTAAAATCTATATTTGGTCATGTATAAATCTATATATTTGTATGCTTATATGTGTATATGGGCATGCCAACTATAACTATAATGTAAATGATCGGCACATGTATATTGATCACTTATCGCATCCTTGTTTTGCGAGATGCATTAAACTAGATGGTCTTGTGGTGTCGTGAATTGTTTTACCGAAAACAGTTTCTTGTTTCAAATCAATGACCGAAACTATATTGCCCAAAACAACCCCAGCACCGCCCCTAGAAAATTAATGGTCGGTCTCCGAGTAATTCAGTCGTTACAAATTTCGTTACAGGTTGAAGAAAATACGATGCAGGGACAAGAACTGGTATATATTTTTATTGGAACTATGGAGTCCCCTTTGAGCTTCGTGGGCATAGTTTCTCAGAGGTCACCGTTTGGCCCACAAATGTGTAAAGAAGCTTGTATTTACTTGATAGGATGCACCTACTACTTCTTTTCAAGACTCGAACTCTCGTGACGAATCGACGAATCTCACACAGCAGGTTGCCCGCACTCGCGACGAATCGACTTTTAACCTCAACAGGATTCAGGTGTTGATTAAATATAAGATTTCCTTAGGCTGGATACACTTTTATTGGTCTGTTCCAATACACGTTGTATTTGCAAATTTACCTAACCAAATTCAATAACGTTCACACCGTTTAAATATTTGTTGAATTCAACCTGTCTTCAAAATGGGTATTGATTGTCGTTTGTACACCTACTGCCACGTACTGTCTCGCCATGATCAAATAGTTCTAAGCAACAAGTTCCCACTATTCTGTTATATAACAATACGAATCGTGGGTGCTTTCTGGATCGATTATGCTTCCCCGCCCTCAAGGCGATGAAGTATAAGGGTTAGTTTGTTTTTGACTGCAGGAGAGCGCCATTTTGAAATGAGAGTGCCTTAATCTGGACATGTATTATTCAATCGCCTGTCACATTCTGTGACTTAGTCATGTTTCGTAATGGAGATGATCCATGCAATTTGTTCATTGTGTATTTAAAAGAGCTAAAAATGTTCAGGGGAAAAATATCTCC